ACCTGATTGAATCTATTCCTCGAAGATGCAAGGCTGTGATCGACAACAAAGGATTCGCCATGAAATATCGATAGCAAAATACAGTTTGGTCAACATTTCGTGGAGTTGCACTTGTATTGTTCAGAAGGAAATCAACTATTTTTAATACTTTTGATTAATTTATTAACTTTTGTGCACAAATAATTAACTTTGTGATGAATAAAACTTGAACAACGTTGTCTTTAAACAGTTACATAGTTATTTCTCTAAATTGAAAAATGCAGCACTTTTATATAAAGAAACTAAATTAGCATTATTTGGTTGCACTTGTTTTGTCCGATACTATATATATATATATATATATATATATATATATATATATATATATATATATATATATATATATATATATATATATATATATATATATATATATATATATATATATATATATATATATATATATATATATATATATATATATATATATATATATATATATACATATATATACAGCGCCTATAAAGGAACTTTAGTGTTTTTTATCGCTGCCTGTTATATGCCACAATGATTTTTAAAGATTTAACAAAGGTTTCCTTAGAGCCACTTTAATGCAACATGAGAACTCAAGATATTCTTTTTTTAAGGTTGCTCTAAAAAAGAATTTCTTTTACAGTAAAAACTTATGACACTAAAACTTAAAAACGACTAATGTATGTAGTATGGCGGTCAACCTAAGAAATAAAACACACTTTTGGAACCCCCTATTTTAATATTAATTTGAAAAAAATGAAATCCAGCAAAAAATCAGTAATTTCTTTCCATTCAGTTTATAGGTATATTATTTGAAGAATATTCTCTGAAGGTTTCAAATCATAATGTTTAATATTTATGAAAATAAGATGTTTAAAGTACTCAAAACCTTATGAATTTCTTATTTAGCAAAAAACTTAAAACTTAAAAGATAAAAAAACGAGTCGCAAATAGTAGAGTAGATAATTTCGGCTGATCAGTGTTTTAGGCATATTTTAACATCCATTTTAAAATCAAAATTCATTAAAAGAATCGCAAACTTGCTTCTTAATATAATCATACAAGTTTTTTCCGGAATACGTTTTATAGAATATGTTTTTCTGTAAAACAAACAGTAAAGGCATTGAATAATATGGTATTTCATTTAATTGTAAAGACCTTGGGTCTTTACAATTAAATGAAATACCATATTATTCAATTGTATACTCTTTACAGTTAAAGTAATGTAAATATACAATTAATATTCAGTTTAAATATACTATTTTAACATTGTATTACAAAATTTCAAACTGGAGCTTCTAAAGGTTAAGTTAGTTTGATTTGCAAGTTAAATTATTTGAAATACGGTTATAACAACCAAAAAAAAGTCAGGATTAACTTGAAAGGGTTAATATGCAAAGTTAAATTATCATGCTCTAGAATTTAATTTGAAACGTTTGAAAATACCAAAAAACAATGTTTTTTAAAGGATACGACGTTATGCTAAGAGGTCTATGATGTCACGCTAAAAGGTTTTGAAAAAGGTTTTTTTTTTGTTTTCTTTTTTTTACATCAATCATTATTATATATTTCAAAAATAAATAATATTTGTATGTCTCCAGTTTATATAAATGTCCACCACACATATTTACAATACCTAAAGAACGTTAACAATGTTGTTATACGTGTGCGCGTTTTACAGAGGGTTAAAATAGATAATTTAAAAAAACGTGGTTTATAATATAAAGTGCTGGCTATTAACCCATGCATTTATAAAAATATACGCAAGTCCGTCGCACCACAGGGCTACTAGGGACTTGCTTGTGCTTGTAATAAAACTATGCAGTTGTAAGGAAACTCACTGTAGACTACGAGAAGTCTTTTCACCGAGAACCTTTATAATACAAAATAAAATAAAAATATAAAAACTAAATTTATAAAAAGCATATTACCCTTTTGAGGTCTACTGTTCATTAATTTTTTACTATCTATAGTTGCTAACTATATTTATTCTTTCTTTTTATTGTTAATATTATTATTATTTTCTTTTATTTTTATTTATTTATTTTTAAAATATAAATTGTTCTTGTCACATTTTACTATATTACATATTCTTTTACATTTAATACATTTTGATAAAACAGGTTTTGTTAATTACGAGATCTTTTAGTTTTTTTTTCAAGGCTATAAGATTGTCCAATTTAGTAAGTTCTATATTTTGAGGTATTGTTTTGTTGTATAAATAATGGCTACGGTATACAATTGAAAATATCTGTTGGCGTAGATTTGAAAAAAGTTACTAGTAAAATGAGTTGGGACAAATCCGAGCTTATATTTAAGCAGAAATAAAATATTTTGGTAGATGTTAATTTGATAGAGCATTTAATTTTTTATCAAAATTTTTTAAGTTAAAGAATCGGCATGAATAAATTTATTTTTTATTGTAAGTCATTCTTGATGCGCGTTTCTGGTGTATATATAGAGAATTTAGTTTAGATTTATTTGTACTTCCACAGGTAATATTAAATAACAGGTAATATTACCATATGTTAAATAACTTTGTATATAAGAGAAATAGAGCATTTTTAGATTCTTAGAAAGTATAGGTTTGACTTTGTAGAGTATGCCGATACTTTTTGATATTTTTGTATTTAATGTTTTTATATGGGCTTTCCAAGAAATCTTTTCGTCAATAATTATCCCAAAAAATTTAATGGTTTCAGTTCTTTTGATGTTTATGTTATCAATTTTTAGTAATAGTAGAATGCTTGTATGAGAGATTGATGCAAGATGTAATGCAAGTATGAGGAAGTAACCTAGAGTAAAAATTTATAAACTTTGTTGTTACAAAAAACTGCTATTTTTAACCAAAGACTTTAAGGCTTTATTATCGAAGGCTCTGTTAATAAAGTAATCCCCATTTTTATTAGTACTAGGAAGCGCGTATGTAGCATACATATACTGGATATGTATGCTTATATATATATATATATATATATATATATATATATATAATATATATATATATATATATATATATATATATATATATATATATACCACATTGACAATAATACATATACTATATATGTATGTTTGCATATGTATACTATATAGATAAAAAAAATATTTTTCGATAAGTGTTATTTTGAAGCATAGATATAAAAGCATTTTTCAATAAGTGTTATTCTCAAGCGTAGATAAAAAAATATTTTTGAATAATTGTTATTTTAAGTTTTGTCTTACTTCTATATGTTCCTATTTTTATTTTTCTAAGATATTTGCTGGTTATGACGCTCTAATTAGAGGTGAACCTGTTTCTACAAATCTTGGTAATCATGTAAGGCAGTTAGCTGGAAGAAAACAAACCACATTTTCAAAGATTTGCTAATGGCAGTATACATATACAACTAAAGGCCTTAAGTATAAGGATATTAGCAATATTTTATATCTTGCCAACTTTGATTTGCAACTCTCTAGATAATCATACCATGTTGGTTGAAAATTTAGAGCGTTTTACAAAACTAGTTAAAAAATGGTGTTTTAAAAATTGCTTTTGTAAAATGTTACTTAAAAATTTGAATTTTACTTGAATAATTTAATCTTGTACATGTTTATTTTTTATGTTGTAAACGAATAAGTATTTTGATTTAAATGACATCACAAATCCATTTATTACATGTCACATGATACATGGATTTTTGATTAATTGCAGATAAATTTTAAGTCTTAAACGTATGTCGTATTAAGATGTTTTGCCAAAAAGTGCGCTGATTAGAGTCTAAAAGCAAAAATAACGCCATATCTAGGGGAATTTTTTTCTCTAAAAAAATACATGTTGTTTCTTTAAATAAGACTAAAATTAATAAATATACTTAAAATTTCATTAAAAAAGCATCTGGGGTTCAAAGGTTATAACCATATAAAGTTCGCATCTTTTAAAACGAGACGGTAAAGTGGTTTTGTGGCTGTATACATTTGACAAATATATATTTTTGAACATACAAAGGTTTGGAAGTTATTTAGTTCTAATACTAAAAAATTATGGATTCGCAAAAGTTGGATTCATCACAGCATAAAGTTGGATTCATCACAGCATAAAGTGTTGGTTTAAATAGTTTATTTGATTAAAGTAAGCAACGATAAAAAAAAATTATGATTTTTACAAAAAATTCAATCAAGTTTAAAAAGAACTTGACCTTAATTAAATTTTTTAATTAACCTGTAGAGAACAATATGAACAACATTGTACTTTTTATCATGTTGTACATAGGGTTTCCGACAGATTTTTTAAAATTGAATCATTTTCTGCAAGTTATTCTGGAGTTTAGATTTTTGATAGTGAAATTAACTTTTAGTATTAAAATTTTAGACGAAGTTAACCACTCTTGAAATTCATTTATGTAAATTTATATATAGTTAGTGGTAAACTGCGTGTCTATCTAATTTATAAGGTAGAGACGGTATATTCTAATTTATAAGGTGAGACGTAGCAGCGTTCAGCTATAGCAGCCTAGTATATATATATATATATATATATATATATATATATATATATATATATATATATATATATATATATATATATATATATATATATATATATATATATATATATATATATATATATATATATATATATATATACTATATATATATATATATATATATATATATATATATATATATATATATGTATATATATATATATATATATATATATATATATATATATATATATATATATATATATATATATATATATATATATATATATATATATATATATATATTTAAGTTTATTCATTTCCAGTAAACCATTCGTCCAGACTTGCTTTAAACTTGTTTAAATTCTTGGACTCTTTATTTTCAAAGTTTAAAGCGATTAAGTTAATAAACATTAAATTAAAAAAAAAAAAAAAAGAAACCAAGACATTCTTTTTTGTTAAAGTATTTACAAGTATAAATACTTAAAAAAAAATTAATTTATTAAAAGAAAATTAATTGTATACGTTCCATATTTATTTGTATAAATCCTTATTTATTACAACACAAGAAATTTTTCCTAGTTTTATTGACTTAAATATCATTCTTCAGATTCAATGAAAGATTAAGACAATTCAAAACCAGCACCAGATTTTATAGCATACTTCAACTTTTCCTTTAATATACTTTTTTTTTTATAACATGGTAGCTTTAACAAATTAAAACATGTTGAACTAGTTGGTAAGCGGGCCGAAGATGTAGTGCCACGTTTTCGTAAACTAAATAACCCTCGAACAATACTTGTCGGTGTATCACCATTATCCTATAAATATAAATATAAGAAGTAATCTGTGCGCACGTGTAAAACATAAGAAAGTATTTTGTGCGCGTGTGTAAAACAAATAATATGATATGTTCATAAAATATATTTATAGCTAAATTAAAATAAAAAATGGATATAAAATAGTAGAACAAAAGTAAAAGACTGGGTAAAGGGTGGGTAATACAACTAATACTTAACTAATCTTCCTACTGAGGCAAGAAAAAACCGTCGAAAAATTTCGTAGGCCTGGGGACAAAACATAAATTTAAATTTGTATATATTATTCATCAAATTAAAAGTTTTTTTTTGTGATTGTTAAGTACATGTGTTAAATTCTAAAAAAACTAAACTTTCCCCTTGTACTTCATACTTGTATAGTTATATATTTGCGAAGCATTTAATGATAATACAAACTTTACATTTTTCATAAAATTGTGTTTAATTCAGAAAAGAGCAAATATTTGTTAACTTCTTGTTGTTGTCGTTGAATATTTTCTTACTTGTCATTTTTGAGGAATGTTCCTCCCCTACAAGAAATAGCCAAGATGTTCAATTAAATCTAAAACATACTGTATATATTTGGGAATAAAAGAACTAATTTTTTTAATATGCTGTAATATCTACTTGCTCAATACAAATGTATTCTTAGCATTTTAAACAACATAAAGACAAAACAATATGCCACAGTTTGCACAGATTTGTTGATTAAACAACTTTGTGTTATCACGTCATGTGACTCATATTGCCGCATGCCAGTTATGTAAGAACAATACCTTTGAACAAGGACATTGATTTGTATATGATTGATTGATCGGTGGTTGTTAAAATTTACTTAATCCATATATATAGTCATGGGATTTTCTAAAACTTATACATTTAGTTAAGAGACGATGAATGATAAAAATATGTTTATTGTAAAAATTAAGAAAAAAATAGAGGTTTATTAATAAAGTATAAAAGTATTTAAATAATATATAAAAATATTTAAACAATATATAAAAATATTTAAACAATATATAAAAATATTTAAACAATATATAAAAGTAAACAATATAAAATGTAAAACTCACGCTAAAACCAATTTCAGCCAATAGCCTATTTTTTTTTTTTTAATAAAATCGAGTTTTTAATTTTATATTTTTAAAAAAATATATAATTATATTGGCCAACAACTCCGCTGAAACATTAATGTTATTAAAAGAATGCTTTAGTTTTTCAGTTATAAAGTTAAAAAAAAAATATTTTACTGTCTGAATCTTCTGCATAAACAATTTTTAAGTTTTTTTTTTTATAGGTAAAATAAAGTCCAAAAGTTTTTTATAAGTAAAATAAAGTCAACAAGTTGCAGGATTTAGAGCAAAAGTTAAATGTAGTTCTCTTATTAAATTTTAATATAAAAAGATAAAGGTAATTTTTTGGGTTCAATTCTTTTTAAAATGATTTTTTTTGTTACAAACTTGTCTAACATGTTCGTAATCCTATAGAAGTTTCATTAATTTTTAACTCTCGATATCCTCATTTAAAATATTGTAATTGCGCCCTTTTTTTCTTTTGGAAACAAACATTCCACAAGTGTCTTTACTTGATCTAGTTGCAATAATCCTTATATCCTCACCGGAAAAATCTATAAAACGAGTACTTACATCTTCATCTGAGGAATCTACAAAACGAATTGAGAATGGTGGTTCAAGATGTTTAAAACCAAGAAGAGGCGGATTGGAGCAGCTTGTTACAAACTATAAAAAAAACTATTTTATAAGTTGCTTTTTAAAATTACTGCTTATCTTTAAAATTGCCACACACCTTTAAAAAAAGTTTCTTTTCTTGCAGAGTAAAGTCATTGCTTAATATATCCCACAACCAGACTATAGTTTGGTGAGAGGCATGGTATCCACCATAATAACGAGTGTAGTTTCTAAAGTATTACCAAATAAAATATAAAGAACTAATAATTAATTAATTGCATTAATCAAGTATATTTGTGCTTAAAATTAAAAACAATCATAAATTAACATCAAAAAACAAAAGATTACTTTAAGTCGGCTAGATCAAAATTTTCTGTATCACCAGATATCAAACGCTGCAACTGCGGAGCTGAAAAAATACGAAGCCACTCTGGTGAAATAATACTAAGAAAACCCTGAACAAAGGCAGCACTTTGTTGCTTGATTTGAGTATGAAGTCGATAGCGAGCCATTAGATGAATATATGTCATTCTAAACATAACAATAAAAAAATTGAGAAGTTTACACTTTCACAGTTCAATATCTAATCAAATCACGACAAAAACAGGTTTTAAAAAACATTACTTGTTTGAATTAGTGACACTAACAAATCTTCCTCCAGGCTTTAAATCATGCGTCACCATCTGATAAAATTAAAAACAAGTTGATTATTTATTTTAAAAAACTATATTTAAGTTAAATAATAAAATTAATAACAAGATAAAAAAAAGTAAACAGAAATAAGAAACAAAATAATTAAATCAACCTGTCCTAAAACGTCTTCATCAAAAGCAAATACCAACTCTAAGTCAGATACATCCCCATTGTAAGTCTGATAAGACAAAATTAACTTACATAAAATAAAAACAATAAATGTAAAACATAAGACAAAAAAGGAATTAAAAACATACTTTAATGAAATTTAAATTTTTGTACATCTCAGGATCAAGTGACGGAAGCTCATCAATTGAACTATACATAGGGGAATGTTTGTGTTGCAACATATAGTTTAAGAAAAATGATGCAAAGGGAACATCAACCAAAATACCCTGGTAATATATAAATAAACTAAATAGTTAACAAATATGAGCAAACCTAAAGAGTAAAGACATTTATATTAGAAGTAGTTATAACTAAATGAAATAAATAACAATAAAATAAAACATTTCGTGCGTCATCTTATTGAATAGCTAAGATAAAACCTATAATACCTTTAAAAAAAAAAAAAAAATTATAAAACCTTTCAGGTTTAGATTTATTTAGTTCTTTTAGTAATTTAACAATTAAGTAATTTTTTTTCTTTTAATATACATACTGTAATATACATAGATTGTAAACTCGATCTGGCACTATAATGTATATGCATGTGCGTGTGTATATATATATATATATATATATATACGTAAATATATATATATATATATATATATATATATATATATATATATATATATATATATATACACACACGCACATGCATATACATTATAGTGCCAGATCGAGTTTACAATCTATGTATATTACAGTTAAAAAAAAATTCATTGAACTTTTTCTTTTCCTTGTTTGTTTGATAGAACTCTCAGGACTAAAGTCAATATTTTAAAAATTTAAGTAAAAAAAGATATGTTAGAAAAAAACCTGCAAGAAGTATTAAAATTAGAGTTTATATGTACTATGTATAAAACAATTTTTGTCCTTGGACTTAAAGTGATATATTTCAATTGCTTACGTCTAAAAAGTGTAGAAAATTGACGTTTTTGTTTTCGTAAGAAAAGAAAAAAACCATATCTTTGCTCATTTGGTCTGGTAAGAAACAACAATTGCATATTGAACAGATATAGTAAAAAAGAAATATAGTTTAGAAAGTTTAGAAAATATTGAAAAACAAAATAAAATAGATATAACAATATAGAAAAGCATGCTAATATAAAGTATATACATTTAAATATAAATTCTAGAAGAGTTAAAAAAAATCAGATAAAAAGTCTAAAATATAAGTAGATTTTCTAGATTTATAAATGTAAGAAATAAAAAAATAAACCATTTTCACAAAGTCCAAAATTTAGTTATTTCTCTTCTCTTTTTTATTATGTTCTTGATAAAAACATTTAGTGAACACATTATTTGATTCTTTATCTGTTATCCAACAAAGATCCTAGTTCTAGCCTTAGCCTTTGACAGCTTTGGAAAAAGTTTTCATCGGCGGCCCCCACCTAATAATGTTCTTGCCAACAGTAAACTTAATCAGTAATTATTTCTGAGCAATATTTTGTGGGATCAACAATGCAGAAATGTTTTGTGGGATCAACAATGCAGAAATAGCAGTCTTCATGGCCCTTGTTTCTCCATTGTACTAATCTGTAACAGTAATAAAACTAATTATATAAAGGTAAAAATTTCTTACATCATTTAATACAGGATATAAAATATTTTACTATAGTACACCAATATATATATATATATATATATATATATATATATATATATATATATATATATATATATATATATATATATA